GTTGTGTAACACAGCTACGTTTGCATGAATGAAAGGGTCAATGTATAATTACTTTATGGATCATCTAGGAACAGGCATGTATTGCTAGCTAACGGTCACTTTTATCCAATCATCATTGTTGCAAGATCCACTGCATGGGAACGATGCCCCTGCTCTAGACATTCACTTCCATGATTAAAGTAGGTTGATCCGAGCTGATTTGACTGAGCTGTGGTCAAAGAGAGATTACATCACTCTGGACATAAAGCACGCTCGATGTAGCTCAACCGATGTAATCTTGTGTGAGCGTAACTCAACCAAATCAGCTCGGGTCAACCTACTTTAATCATGGAAATGAATGTCTAGAGCAGGAGCATCGTCCACCTACAATAGAATGAACAAAAGTTGGGAATGCACAAAAGTGGCTATTAGCTGCCAATGTATGACATAAAAGTGAGGGTTGCGTACATTTCATGCATTGTCCCTGAAGTCCTGACTTTTTAGCTGAGTTACCCAAAGAGGTCCTTCTGCATCTTTTGCTCTATTATAGCCATACTACTTTACATTAAACAAAGACCACTTCTCATATAGCATCACGCTTACAAAGATAAAGGTGGCTGTATCTCCAAACTTTACAATGAAACGTGGGGTCTTTGATAGAACAAGGTGCTCGGCTTGGCCAACAGCACCTTGTGTGCAAGTTTCACGATAAAGCTTGCCAATCCCAGATTTCGCAATGTCGCCACCAGCCAAACTGGATCTGGGGGTCGACCTCTTCGACGACGACGACCAAAAAAATATTTTTTGGGCTGTTTGCGACATTGGACGCGAAAATTTCACACAAGGTGCTGTTGGCCAAGCCGAGCCCATTGCTCTATTCAAAACCCCACGTTTCATTGTGAAATCTTGAGATATGGCTGTCTTTATGTTTTCACTATGCTGTAAGCGTGATGGAGTTGCTTTTTCCCAGTGGATGGTGTCGGCTGCATTAACGGAAAGATGAAGAGCTGAGTGAAACCGCACGTGGTGGTTACACAGACACGTCCTTGACAGGTTGCTACACAAATGGATGACGATGATGATTGTCTTTTGTGAAGATACGTAAGTAAACAGCATCCAATAATGAAGGTGTGTCAAGGTATGCATCACATTTGCATGTAGAAGAAAGTCGAGCTGCATAAACCAATTTGTATATGTAAAAAGATACGTATACACATATTGAATGGGTCACTCATCCTGAAACTCAATGGAGGGATCTGTTCACATTTTCTCTTCTCAAGCTCAACCCACTTCCCACTCCTTATTGTATCACAAAAGCCATGTACTTCTTGCATGACCGATAACCGGACCACCTTTATTATTCAATCTTCGAAGCAATAGTATGTAATCCACAAGCTAGCAACCTCCAACAAGCGTGTAATAAATAAACAATGCTTTATTTCATCTAGCTATCTTGCTATGTACTGTACACTACCACCATCATCGTCGTAGTCGTCCTCCGTCATCATTCCTACTCGTACTCGTCATCAGTTGTCAATCTCATCCGTCACATCAATATCAAAAACACACAAGTTGAAAAGAATGGAATCTTGCAGACTTCCTTTTGAATCACGCTGTCGTCATCATCGTCATTGTTGTAGATGGGGTGATCATCGTAATCGTCATTGTTGTGAATGTGGTAATCATCGTAATCGCCATTGTTGTGTATGTGGTAATCATCGTAATCGTCGTCTCTATAAATAGAAAGCAAGCAAGTTAGACCATATGATGCCGGGAATGATGACGATTTGGTATACCGTTAGGCGATCCTCTCCAAGGAAGAAAGCAGATCAGAAGGAATCCACAAACCAAATTACCACCATACGAGCAACGTCGGGCGATCCCTTGTTCTTGAGAAGGCACTGCACGAATCACGCAAGGCCAGTTCGATCCATGGCAAGGAAGGACTCACTTACGTAGAGTCCAGGCTCATAGTTGTCCTCATTCATTCTCTCCAAAGAAAGAATGATCCCCAATCCTTCCAATCATTTCCCACCTCATGAAAAGAAATCCTCAAAGGGAACGAACGAACCTATCACGAGAAGAACGTGTTGGTTCAACACATTCACAAGCTGTTGCAAATCCCCTTTTACCTCAACACGGTAACCATGCTCTTCCATAAACCCATCGTCATCGACCACTTGATACAGGCTAGGACTTGAACCCAAGTTGCATTGCCTGACCAAAGAAACCTGTTCAATTCATTATTAGCACACACACGCACAATAAACGCCCTTTTCATTGTTTGTTTCATTGTACTTGCCTTTTCCATACACATAAAGACCCGTTGTTGTTGGTTACTGGAAACCGAAAAGCCATGGTGTGGTGTTGTTGAGCCGAAACAAAACGCCAAACCAGCCAACGTCTTAAAACCAAACTTGCCCTCTATATAAGCTAACACGTCAATGGAACTAATTCGGTTGCAACATTGGGCTCGGAATGTACCTGTTGACACCAAGCGTAGAGCGGGAATAGCAACGAGCAAAAGGAAGCAACCATATCGCCATGGCAACCACCAACCACCAACCACGCTCATTCCTCAGCATTTGGACACACGCTCACTCCCTGACAATGCAGGTTCAGAACTACATTAATACCTCACAGCCAACAAGAGCACTCTTTTTATAATGCATTACCTTGATTGGAATGTCGTGAATGGGGATAAAAGCAGAGGAGGGAGAAAGAGAAGAGAAGCGTTGTCTCAAGTTGTGGAGCTACCGGCCCCCAAGTTTAAATCCCCTACTGCTATTACACTGAGGCCACTCAATTACCGTATACACCACCATTCACCCATCATGATCATCACCCTCACGATAGACAATAGGTACACGTAAATAAAAGAATTGACGATCCTCACGTATAGCAAAAGGGTGTGTGCCATTTTACACTTTACATGATGATACGAGAGATGTCGATGACCATTCTTTGCTGCTGTCAACCAAATGAATCATCCTGGACGACACAAAAGAACCAATTTTACGTCTCACGCTTCATGCGCCTTCATACAAGATGCTGATCATTTTCGGCTTATTGACCATGGGTTAACTTGTTGCCACGTGGCTATCGTAGGCGGACTTTGCTATAGCATGAATCGCATAAAATCAAAGGGTTGTCATAAGCATTATCACCCAGGACTACACAAATGGCCAACGTTAAATGTGTTATAAGCATGATTATGCAATTTGATTTGACCAATATGCAATACAATCCCACAGTCCAAATTAATTCACAACTTGATTTATTGCTAATATTCGTAATGCTGATATTCAATATTCATGTGTAGAAAGCTATAACTAGCCTAGTAGTTGATGACACGAGTGACTGCAGATGCAGCATCGGTGGCAGTGTCTACGACTCGTTGGAACCAACCGCGACTGGTAGCATTCTTGGCGTTTTGGGTTTCAAGCATGGTCTCAAAGCTTTCAGCGAGCATATCAATGCCATCAATTTCAAGATCAAATTGCTCCGAAGCGGTGTCGTGGGTCAAGCGATGAATGTGGACTGTACGTGTACCCATTGCCTTGGCGGCTGCAAGCACATTTGCATTGGCAGAAACGATAGCAAGTTCTTCAGGTCCATTGAGAGCCAACAAGTCCGCAACACCTTGGACAGCCGATTCAGCATTCTTGCCGTCAGCAAACATATCAGCACCGAATTGAGCATTCCAGCAAAGACATCCATGGCGTGCGAGATCAACCATAGAACGAGTAGAGAAGGCTGATGAGAAAGCAACGGTCATTGTATCTTGCAAGCTCTGTTTCTTGATACGGCTGATACCCGACTTTGCATCTTGGTACAAGTCAAGCTTCACCCAGGCAGCACAAAGTCGATCCAATTCCTCAGTTGTCAATGCATTCTCGGCAACGCCATGTTCCTTGAGTAATTCAATCAAAATGATACGGAAAAGAGCAACATCGGAAATGCGTTTCTCGTCACCTGCAGCGCTGCGACGTTCCAAAAAGACGGCATGCCACTTGGCAACGAATTCAACAATGTCGATCTTTTCAAGAGCCTTGTTGCAGTGGTTGTCAATAATAGTGATCCAGATCTTGCGAATAGTTGTGCTGTAATCCGTAACGGTGCCAACAAGATCAAAGGCAAATGCACGCACACCAGCGAAAGATTCCGGCATAGTGGTGGTCTCAACCCAGGTGATCGTCTTGCCTTCAAAGACGGCAGCAATAGATGCACCAGCAGCATATTCAAAAGAGTGGCCAATACGCTGCTTAAAGAGTATCACCTTGTACTTGAGGGCTTCTTCAATATCGACACCATCCACGTCAAGATGTTCAAGGGCAAATGCTTGGTTCTGTACAGTGTGTTGGATCTGATCAAAGCAATGCAAGGCATGGGTCTGTGCAATTGCAGCAGTGGATGCTACATCCATATCAACTCCGAGCACAATGTCGTAATTGCCGGTGCTGACAAGCTTACGCTTAGATTCAAGCACAATGACATTGAGATCCTCCATGGCCTTCTCCACAAGCACCTTGATTTCAACCTTGATATCACAACCCTCCTTTCGAGAAGCAATGCGGATTTGGTCAACAAGAGTTTCGTACCAGCCAAAGATCTTGATATTGCAGTCTTCTGCAACCAATGCAACTTCCTTTTGTAAGCGCTCTTGCATCTGCTCCTTGCTCTCAACAATAACATGGGCCTTGCTCTTCTTCTTGGAAATGTGCATATCAACAGCCTTGTCAATCTTCTCGCTTGAAACAAGCAAGATGTTCTCCAGCTGTGCCTTCACATCAGTCTTGGATACATTTTCCTTGGTAGCAACGGTCTTGATAACTGAAAGCTGGGATTTGGCAATGGAATGGACATATTCAATGGACGTGCTGACAGCCTTTTCGGATTCAGAGTCACCCTTGATAGAGATCTTGGCGGATTGAATGATTTCCTCAAGCTCTTGTTCAGCAGTAGTGACACGGCCAGCGGCTTTGGAAACATCAACGTTGTCTTGATCGTAACAGGCAAGAAGTTGACCCATAAGGGTGGTGTACCAAACATGGATTTCAGCCTTGAAAGCTTGTACCTTGGCAATATCAACCTTGTGTGCAGGCTTGGATGGCTTGACAATAGCGGCTTGTTCACCAACAACCTTTTCAACCTTGACAGCTTCGGAGGACTCCTTGACAACTTGGACTTGTTGTGAGATTTGCTTGCTTACACCAGCAGCAATACCATAGAGCATGGCTCGACGATCCATGGATTCATGAGATTGGGTTTCAACGAGCTTGCTTCTGATGATCGTGAGCTGGCCTGTAATGCTTGTATGCATATCAGCAAAGAACTTATCGAGAGCTTGCATGGAAACGTCCTTGGTCTTGGCCTTCAATGCGTTTCGCTTGAACTTGGCAAACTCGCCAGCAAATTCCAATTCAGCCTCTGAAAGTACGTGCTCAAGATCGCCTTGCACAGTAACAGATGTCTCAAGCACAAGTGCTAGTCGTTCAATAAGTCTTGTAAACCAGCTAGAAATACTGTTGCCAGCACTTTCAACAACTTCAGTGGATACGACATCGATAATGACATCATCTAAAATATAATCATTAGGCTAAATTCGAGAACAATGCATCGACGATAAAATACATACCATGTTCAATGACATCCACGGATTGCTTCACATGCTCTGTTGCAGAGGGCTTGTCATGGGTCTTCTTGATGGCTTCATGGGCGATTGCACCAACAACACCAGCTGCCACTGCACCTTCCACAATGTGTTGCACCGTATGCGATTTCTTGTCGGATGCTACAGTGGTCTTCTTGCCAACGGGAACGATAGTGGTCTATCAGGCAATTAGCATGAATCATAAGCATAAAGTGTAAGTAATTTACCTTGTCATCCTGCACGATTTCAATGCTCACAGATGAATCGCACTTGCTAAGAGCAGTATCGATTTGGGTATTGGTAGCTTCAATCAAAGGAGACATTTGGCTATGGATGGTATCCTTCTCACAAGTACCAGCAGAGACAGCTTGCACACCAATGGCTTGTACCTGAGTTGATCCTTGAATAACCATTCCCTTGGCCCATTCAATGGTCTTGGCGAGCTCGGCATCAGCTCCCTTAGTCTTGCCAGCAATCACAACAAAGTCGCTTTCGATCTTCTTAGTCGCTTCAGAAACAATCACTTCGATCTCGCCCTGAGCGTTGTTTCCACCCTTGGCAGCACGAGTAGACACATCCTCCATGAGTTTGGCAAACCATGAGCGTACGGTGGCCTGTACATAGCCGACAGCACCAATAGCGATAACGGCACCATGGCTTTCCTTGATAGGCTTTTCGATTGGCTTCACGGTAACTTCACCAATGACAACCTAGTACAATAAAATTAGCAACTTTGATACATAGCTTATTAATAAACCCAATACATACTTGTTCTTTGCCTTGATCATGCTTGACAATTTCACTGATCTTGTGATCCTCGACTTCAATTTCAACCGAAGTATCCACCTGGCCGACATGTTCATGAACCTTCTTTTCAGAAGACTCGATAACACCAGTGAGACGATCCTTCAATGTATCAACAGAAGAGCCACCAGTAGTAATGACCTCAACACCAATGGTTTGAACTTGAGC